ACTTAAAAAAATGAGTATCAGGAATCTTCCTGGAGGGTAAAAGGTGCGTTAAGTTTAACAATCTTGCCGCCATCTGCTCACAGATGGCGGTAAGATTGTTAACCTTACCGTCATCTGTGAGCAGAGTGTCTAGGGAAAATGTGGGAGCCTCGACGTCTCACAACACTATGGACTTTCGCGGCCTGTTACAAGGATATATATATATATTTTGCAATTCTTAGACACTGTCCATTTTGATTGGTTTTAACGTCCATTGATTTATTTTCTACATAATTTAAAACTTATCAGATTTATGTGTCCGCGTGTTGGATCACCCTTGCTCTATCCATTTCATATCCGGTTATACTGGGTATGACACTATACATTTTTAGAATTCCTTACTACAGGTTTCGATCTATGTGACGTACTGCCACAAGAATCTGCAGAAACTGTAGAAAAACCTGCAGAAGACGGAAAAAAAGAACTTACATCAAAATATTTATTGTTCAGCACAGCGTAACTGCATAAAATATATTTACAAATTGTACTTCAAATATTTTAAGTAAATTCTGTCATTATTTCATAAAAGAAATGTAAATATATATGTATGTACGTGTAATTATGGTTACTGAATTTCTAATATGCACTAAACGAGTCTAGCCGTTTGTGTGAAAATCGGATAATTCTTTTCCTTTGGCGCTACAGCCCCAATCTGGGCTTTTGCCTACCTCCATAAAAATCCCCATTTCACTTCGGTTTACTAGATCTTAGACATTCGGTAGAACTCCTTGGGCGGGCGATCAGCTCGTCACAAGGCCTCTACCTGTACACAAACACTAAAGATCCATGCCCTGAGTTGGATCCGAACCCATGATCCCGGCTTCCGAGCGCACGAAGACAGTACATGCCTTAGACCGCTCGGCTACCGTGCCCGGCAATGTATAAGAATAATATATCGTATAAGAATTCAGTTCGTACCTCACAGGAAACAGATCCGAACCCACGATCCCGGCTTCCGAGCGAGCGAAGACAGTGCATGCCTTAGACCGCTCGGCTACCGTGACCGGCAATGGGATAATTACTTTAAAAATTATAAATAAAAAAACGACTTTATGTGGATTTACATCCCGACACATTTCTATGTAAGAGGACCAATATTTCAGTGTCTCCACATACTTCAAAAACATTCATCTATTTTTTAATTTTTTACTTATCATCTCTGGGCAGCAGAATCTATTGACTGAATGAAGCGGTTATTTGTCCATCGTAGGTTACGTGAGAAAAATAAAAATTAAAATAGGATAATACATTTATCTTACTGCCCTTAACATTTCGAGTTCAGAGGAGTCTATATATTGCACCCGGAACTGTCCTTTCTAAATACGTACATTTTGCTTTGACTAATCAGTGCGGGACTTACAGTTTTGCACATGTTTCACATTTATCAAACGGTTCACATGCGCCACTGACTTCACAGGAAGTAAACTGGTGCGCCAACTTGACGTAACGTGGCACTGCCTATAACAAATTCCTCGATAACACCGGAAGGAGATCCCTGTGTAACTTCCTGGTGTTGTACAATCGTACTGGTTTATCGAGATGCATGGTTTAGTGCAGTTAAATGATGAACATTGTGAATGTCTTAAGCACCGGACGTCCGCATAATCGGTACACCAACTGTGCTCTCCTCCACACTGCTTCCAGAAGGATGTCCCGTAACATTGCAGTGGCTGCTCTGGACAGGAAGTTGCGGGCAAGGTGCAAGACGTAGAACAAGTGTCAGAAGACGCACACTCATTATCTTCTGTGCACTTAGCATTATTTGTGCAAAGGCATCCTGTGTTGCCGCACTGCTTGTAGCACATACCTCTGCAGCACCTGTGATAGCCCTCTCCTTGCAAGACGGCCAATGCTAGCAGCACTGTTAGCTTCATCATACTTCAGCAGGAAGCATTCTCATTCTCTGTAGCTCTTCCGGTGGCTAAACAGATCCACTACTACCAAAGAGTACTGCCAGAGTGTACACGTATACGTATGTAGTCCCAGCAGAGGCGAAGTTAAAGAAATTGCCTGGAACAAGGGATGTTATCAGCAACAATTATCGCTGTCGTAAGGACGTAAATAGCCATACTGGTAATCAGCTAATATAATGACTTCATGCGAATACCCTGAAGGAGATAAAGGCAAAAAATTATATCTGTCCCTGTGCTTAACTAATTAATCACTAGACCATGAAGGCGTATGAAGGAGTGGATGGATAGATCCATATTTTCTTGACTTCGGCACTAGGTTGAGGTGAGTGGTCAGCTTCACTCCCCCGGGGAAAGAGCCCTCGGTATATATTATGTAGGAGGTTGGGTGGGCACCAGAGTCGATCTGGACGACATGCAGAACTAAAAGTAACGTACTCGTACGTATCCAGACCGTAGGCTGGTGACAGGAGTGAAAAACGGGAACTCAATAAAAACACTCGAAGAATTGCACTTGCCTATATTTTTCGATTTAGACCTAGCTCACTTTATGGATACTAACCAACCAACCGTGTTATAAAATTTCACTTGACAAATTTATAAATACCTGCTGAAGAAGTTCCAAAATTGAAATTAATAAATGCCAAAGATTCATTAGCATTTTTACAAAAACCTAACTTTTAATTTAACCCGAGCCATTCACAATCTAATTCTGTGTCTGCCACATGAGTTTAGTCACAGCATCCCTTTACTAAGCCAAGTCTTCCCGAGTGGTCCCTTCCTTGCGATTCTTCTTATTGTCAGCTTCCCATGCGTACTACATTGTATCACACACATCATCATCCTCTAGTCAAATGAAGAATATATATATATATGAAGCTCCTTGTTATGTAATCTTATTTTACTCTTTTTTCTTACATCCTAACATATTCTTCACCAGCTTAAGAACTTGTCAAGCAGTATAACAGTTGACCCATGAAATGCGAAGGATCGTATTGTGTGTAGTACTTTCTTTACCTGCTACAGCAACAGCAGCAGCACAATTTGTCTTGTTTTTGCTATGTTTATTGGCTTGTTTTTTATTGCAAATGGGGTGGGACTAAGTCCCTTGTACTACGGCCATTGAAGATTGGCACGGGAAACCGAAGTACTCGGAGAAAACCTGGCCCAGAGCCTCTTTGTCCACCACAAATCCTACGTGACCAGACCCGGGATCGAACCCGGGCCGCCGCGGTGGGAAGCCAGCGACTAACCGCTTGAGCTATGGCGCGGCCATTCGTTTATTAGCTTTGAGATGATCTCTTTCTAGGGCTTTCTTCAAAGGAGTAACATGAAGTTCGGCGAGTTATTCACCAGACTAAACACATATGTTTGGTATGTTGCAAATGCTCACATTCTCCCTGAGAGTATTTTGGCGGAACTGATGATACAGTAAAGAACCTCTCTGAATCTGTTGGAGTTCCAAGTACTTGCATTTATTTTCTTTTTACTATTTTTCAATCCCAGAGATCAAAGCCAACGAGCCCTTTGTATAACGTCGCGCTCTGCATTAGCCTAAAGTATAATCCGTATTCATATCCACAGGGCAAGTTTCGGGTTAACTGTTGTTACGTGTAAGGGACTTCCCGGATAATATTACGAAGCAAGGCATGTAACAGGATTAGCAGGATTTACGATAAGCTCTCTAAGATATATCTGGTTTGCTAATGCCCAGGTCAGCTGGCTAATATCATTGAACAATCGAACATAAGACAAATAAAGTGCACTGATATGGAATGGAAAACATATACTTCGTGTGTTGTTTGATATTTCTGTTTTTCGTTTTTACGAAAGGTAGCCTTACAGTATCATGACTTTGTCCTGCTCCCGTTAATAATCTTTGGGCCAAGTAATGCACTTCAATCACTCCGGTATGAAGGTCGTACCACTAGAAAATATCCATATATTCCTGCTGATTTATTTCTTGCAGTATGTACTAACATGGCAACAGCATGAAAGCGACACTGGCACCACCTACCGTGCACCCTTGGAACTTTGATAGTAACGGATATTCCAGAGCTATGCAGCATTGTTGTGAAGACGCATTGCGTAATCCCAAAGTATCATGACAGCCATATTAGGTTATGGGCGGATGACGATGATTGATGAATGACTGGAGCTATGTGTGTGAAATTTTGTATGGAGTTCGATCATAAATATACCTCCATGTTTTGTGTGAAACATACAGATTCACCTAAAAGTCAGCTTATTTAAATATCATTTCTTGTGTTAATGGGAATGTTTATGTTTAAACCTGTCAGTCTATATGTAGAACGGTCTCAAAGCGTTGTGAGTTGCGCACTAAACGTGGAGCATCTCATCTCGAAGAATGGTTATATATACACTAAGAAAAACAGAAGGAGATTTCTAACTTATTTTATTGCATATATTGCTATGTAATAAACTGATTTTTTGGGTCATTCTATATAATGCTAACATTTAACAGCTTAGAAAATGCACATTTTTCAGTATTTTATAGTTTTAGGAGTGAGATAAGACAGATCGCTTAGTACTGCAGCTTTAAATTGGCCTATTGTACAAGCCCATGTCAATAGACAAATGGAGCATTGTTGGAATGGTAACTGATAGGCGAGGCTGTAGGAGAGAAACCTGCTCAAGTGTCACTTTATCTTCCACGCCTCTGTACTCCCTCACAGCTTCTTGCTTAGACCGAGAGGCAACTACTGCATACAAATTGTGCCTCTATTGCAGACACAACGATCTCGCTTGGAATGTTCGCAACTTTGTACACAACCAGCTGCAGCGGTTCAACTTCTCCGCCGACCTGCGGACGGTGACCCCGTGGGCAACAAGCTCCTGGTCGCACACTGACCTCCCGCGGATGCAGCAGGGAATGTTGGGCGCTCAGGTACTTACAACTCAATTTGTTTTCTTGTACTACGAACGGGTTATGTCGTTTAGTAACCTCCTATGCCATGTACCTCTTGTGTATTACTTATACTAGGGACGTTCCGTAAATAATGCCTCCTATTTTTTTGTGTATTAATATGTACCGTCTGAGATGGATGTCGGTGGTGTTGTAGTAAAGGTTGAACCTTCCCGCCAATCTACTGTTAGTTTGGTTGTCGTGCGACAGATAGCGACAGCAGAGCAGTCTACCAAAATGGTGTCTGACATAGAAGTGCGTATGAAACAGAGATGTGTTATTGAATTTCTCACT